AATAAATGCAACAATAAAAACACTTTCCTTAGTTGGTAATTTAGATATATTAAGGAGAATTATATATATTATTAAGAAGAAAACTCTTAAAAATGAGATTCAGTTTTCACATGATTTCTGACGGTTAAATATCACAACATTAAAACTATTCAATGGTCGAAAATTAAAATGGTTTGATGATGGAATAAATGAAAAAATCATATTTGAGATTCTGTTTCCTTGATTATCCTGAGTTAATTTGGGTTAATACGCACTGAAAATTACAAGAAACCAGATCACAAGTTTTAAAAATTTTCAGGCTCTCCAGAAATTGCTGATATGCCCTTATTGTACTTTCTTTCCTAAAAAGTCCCGCTTTAATTAGCAATTTGTGGAGTTTTGATTAAAAAAGATTATTTTAGACAGAGTTCACCGGCAAAATATTGGACTAAAATCTGGAAAATTAAAGAATTGAGTCAACAACAGCTTAAATGAGATACCTTCTTTCTAAATAACAAAATCTTCATTTTACTTAAAGAATGGTGACTTGGAATGAAATGTTGTTGCTCAACAGTCAAACCCCGCTATAGAACGAAATGTTCGGGCCTGTGCTTTGCTATACACATTTTCTGTGCATATAGTGAACTAAAAAAAGGAGGAGCTTTCTTCTGTCTTCGACTGATTTTTAAAACCATCTATAGAGTGGAATGTAGCTATAAGCATTTTTTCTTGTTTGCCTCTTTTATCTCACTTTCCCATACCTAAACAAAGACCAACCCAGGCAAATGTATGGACACATTTTTCCCTGCATCAGATAAAGATTACTAATTTTTTACTAAGAGTCATAAAACAAAAAAGCAAGTTAACACATTTTTTGTTTGTCATTTTTGTATTTCTTTTTATGGGTCATTTATTTAAATAATCTATAACAAAAAGTTAGGAACCATTAGTTAAAATTAACGGATATAGTGAACCCTTGAAGGCTAGCGTGGTTTGACTATATTAAATTAATTTAAACAGATATAAACTAATAATCATTTATGTGGTGCTGAGGAAATTTAAGCAACCCACAAACCAAATAATTTGGTGATTAGCAAGTCTTGTCAAGTACTAAATAGAATATTCTGGGAATTGAGCTACCTAATTAAAATAAAGATGCCTGAAATGATACTTGTGTATGATTCGTTTTTTCATTGCTTTTTAAAATAAAGGAGCAATAATTTTTTTTTTATATCCGTCGGTTTTTGGGTTTACGACTACTGATGTTCAACACTCTAGCCACGTAATTTTGAATCAATCCAGAAGACAAAGAAGCTCCTGGATCAGTACCCCCAGAGATCTGATTTGTCATGGTAACATGGAGGACTTGGTGACTCGACAGATTTAACATGCATTAGTCACCATTTACTACATGAGGAGTTTTCGGCCAGCGGGTATCGAACCCACCTCTTAGACTTGGACCTAGTGCTCTACCAACTAGGCTACCCCGGCTAAAAAGGTATAATATTGACTAATTTTATTTATATTTTCTTTAAAATAAAAAATGAAATTTCGTGAAGATGACAAATGGCCAGACAAAATTTGCTAAATACTAAAAGTTTTTGGGAGCTCACAGCGACCTCCCATTTCGGCGACCCTGCTCTACTTTAAGGGGGCTTTTCAAAAACATTTTAAGTTTTAGAATTTAGATTATGTAAAAACAACAATACACCACAATAAATTATTAAAATTTCAGACAGACTAACTGGGAATAAGTTTTAGAATTTAGATTACGAAAGAACAACAATAATTAACTCGGAATAAGTTTTAGAATTTAGATTATGTAGAAACAACAATACACCACAATAAATTATTAAATTTTCCGTCAGACTAACTGGGAATATTTAAAATAGAACAATATTTTTTTTTGAGAATTCATTTTTCAATAATTTGGCACCCCTCTAAAGATGTGCCCAGGGATTTATGTCCTCTCTTGCCCCCCTGTTACCTACGCCACTGCTTCCGAGTTGCTTTCAAAATAACACTTCAAATTTCATGACAATTGTTGCATATTATGCTTAAAATTTGATACATAGGGAATTTTAGGGATTCTTATAGTCGTCAAAATAGAAAACTGCAATATTTTCCAGTTATGATGGACATTAAATATATTTGAAATGTTATACTCATAATTTCAAATAGCATTTAATTTATCAAAGACAGTTAAAAAGATTAATTTAAAATGGGAGTTCAGAATAAAAATAAACTGAACATTTTAGAACAAAAAAAGGTCTTAAACTGATTTCTATAAATGAGGCTTGCTTCATTATGTATCAGTAATACTTATTTAAATATTCAAGCCAGTGGCCCCCATCCCCCCCCCAAGCTCTTGGACGCATTCTTGGACAAATAAATTCCTTCCCCCCCAAACTATTCGTTTTATTTAGAGTAAAAATTCCCCCCCCCCAAGCTTTAAGTGGGCACATCGTGCGCCCACCTTCCCCCCTGATGGGGGCCCTTGTGCAAAATGGGGGCCCTGATGGGGGCCCTTGTGCTTGTCTGTGCAAAAACTCTATTGCAATAGAGATTTTTTTGTTGTTGTTGAAAACTTATGCAATTTTATGGAATTTTCTAAAATGTACAAAAAACCAGGAGAATTTTTATTAAACCAGGAGAAACTGGCAAAATCCAGTAATCTACAGGAGAATCCAGTACAGTTAGCAGCTATAGTAATGGAATGGGTTCAGTTTAAAAAGGGAAACATTTAATTTTTAAAGAAAAAAAATGTAAAAAAAAAAAAAAGAAAAAAAGAACATAGCTGAAAAGCAATTACAGTAGAGTCTCGGTAATTCAAGGTGGAAAGCACCGAGCCAACCTGGAACTTTTGAAAACTCGAGTTATCAAAAACTTAAAATGCAATAAATATTTAAATAAATGTAAACAAAACAATTTTTAAATTTTAATGCATCATTAAAAAATACATTATAGTTAAAGAAAATTCACTTATATTAGAGGGTACATTAAGCCAAGTTATAATATTCATTACAGTACTGCTTACCTGATTATCCCGAGAAAACTCAGGCGTAGCAGAATTTGTCAGTACGTTTCGGTTTATTTATTACGTTTTTACTTGGCCAGAAGCAAATAATAATAAAAATAATAAAAATTTTGCTAACTTCCTATTGTGAATGGAAGTTTGCAAAATTTAGTTTGGGGCGTTTTGCTGTTGGATTGTGCGATTGTATATACGAGGGTTGATGAATTTGCATAAAAAATGGCGTTTCTCTGGGGGGGGGTTTGGATCCCTTTGTGGTGTTTATCGTTTTAAAGATCCTCTCCCATGCATTCTATTGACCCCTGACTTGAGGGACACAGGAAGTATCCTACATTGGGGGTGGAGCGAAGGACTTTTTCTAGTGAGAAAAAGGATTTATTTTTAGTATTAGCTTGAACGAAGAATTAGCTGGACTAAGGGAGAGTATGAACTAGAAGGGAGCAGTAGAGCTTCGGAATTTAAATTTCATGTAGATTGTGTATATTTTCATATTTTATTTTTTAAGCATAATTAATCCTGAGATGACGAAATAAATACCTGCAAAATCCTTTGTCATCATTAAGCGGACTTACATAACAAACCAAATTTATGAAATGTCTCGCAAAGATAGAGTGAGAGGTTTCACAAAAACTATCATACAAAGACTAATATTCAACTTTTTTTCATTTGCCCGAGACTACTCGGAAAAGTAAATTAAATGTTTTTGCGCATTAAAAAATTTGAAATTTCAACTAAAAACTTGTGTATTACGTTTTGTTTTAGCTCCTAGTATTTATTAAAATAAAATAACGATTTAATTTTTTGCATTTTTTTTTCTTCAAACAAATTGTTAAGGGAAACAGTACTTTAAAATAATTGTCTAATATTTTTTGTTGAAACACACTATTCACAAGTTTCAGTATTAAACACACAATATTGTTTTTAAACATTCAGCCATATTAGTTGTCGTAAAATCATTCCATGTATTGTGCGTGCATTGGTTATTATTTGGGAGCAAGACTGACTTTTTTTTTACTAGTTGAAATTTATGGGTTGTTGTTAATTTACGTCGCACTAGAGCTACACAATGGGCTATTGGCGACGGTCTGGGAAACATCCCGGAGGATGATCCGAAGACATACCATCACAATTTTGATCCTCTGCGGAGGAGATGGCACCCCCGCTTCGGTAGCCCGACGACCTGAGCGCGAAGTCGAGCACTTTACGGTAGAACAGTTTAACGAGGACCAATACCGCACACCCTCGGTCCCTACGCAGACTGATCCAAGTGGTCACCCACCCGCACACTGACCGTAGCCAGTGATGCTTGACTTCGGTGATCTGCTGGGAACCGTGACTTAATGATCAGTCCACTGCGGGACTTGAAATTTATGGGAAACTCGAACAACTGAGAATCTACTGTATTAGAAATTAAAGAAAGGAGGTTCCTAAAATACAAAAAAAACTTGTAATCAATATTTGAGTGGAGTTTTTACTAAAATTTAGGAGATGGTGTTTGGCACTATATTTTCAGATCTTAGTTTCGGTGTAGGAAAATTATTAATCAATTTAAATAATTTAATCAATAATAATATTTTAGAAGCCAATGTTTGGCACTATATTTCCTGTATTTATCCTGTGCATGATTGGTATGGGGGTGGTCGGCCTGGTCTTGCTCTGATCAGGGCAAGCAATAGGCATGTCCAAACGGCGCTTGCCAGATTTAGAAGCGGACACACTCGATCCCAACGTCACATTGCGGACCTTAAAAGTCTATCCACCCTGCCCTAAGTGCCATGTGAACCAGTCTGCTCCTGCCCACATCCTATCATGCATTGGCTGCCAGAAGAGCCACCTAGTCTCCAACCCTGCTGCAATAGTACATGGCTTTGGGAGCTTTTTGGATGAGTTCATGGACTTGATTTAATGCTTCTGTTGGTCAAGTGGGCATAAGCAACAACAACAACAACACATTTTTAGATCTTAGTTTCAGTGAAGGAAAATTATGAACCAAATTAAATAATTTAATCAATAATAATATTACAGAAGCCAGTGTTTGGCACTAAATTTTCAGATCTTAGTCTCGGTGAAGGAAAATTAAGAATCAATTTAAATTATTTAACCAATAATAATAATATTTAGAGAGCGGGTGTTTGGCACTATATTTTCAGATCTGAGTTTCTGAAATATATATCCATGTATCTAGGTTAGTTTATAGATTTTCTGAAATATATTTAATCTTCAAATCTAGATTAATTAATTGATTTTCTGAAATATATTTTATCTTTATAACTACATTAATTTCTTGATTTTTCTGTTAGTCAACATTCGTTGCTATAGAAGGAGCGTGATAAAACTTTTGAAATTCACTCCAAAATACAAGAGAAAGTACGGTATGAGGACCCGTTCGTAACAAACTTGCTGTAGCGCCTTTGTAAAATCCAAAAACTCCTTCTTTAGCCATTATCTTCTGAATGCAATCAAACAACCCTGAATAAATAAGGCCTTTACCTTTACTGTCCACTCCTTGATTGTACATACGAGTGGACACAACGTCCAGTGGCGTCATGCACACAACAACTGCAACGCCACTTAACATGCTGGCAAATAGAGCACATAGCCAACTATTAGGCTTGAATACCTAGAAAATAAAAATATCAAGTTAGCCAGTACAAATTTCATAAAGAAAGAAAAAACAATATACATGTAATGCCACAATAGGCATTACATATTTCCCATGTGGCAGAATCGTGGCGATCCAGCGAAATTAACGTAGAACAGTACAGAGTTCTTGCAGAAACATCTTTCCTTTGTAAAGTTAAAAATTTTGATTTTCTTTCCTGCAGAAATTTTCGAAAGATTTTATCTTTTCTTCAAAACAATATTCAAATGATGCCTTTCTCGTGCATCTGAGTGGGGGAAAAAATGCTTGTGATCTCTCTATTCTCATTTGAGAATAATGGTAAATAAAGAAAAATTAAGTAAAAAATTTGGTTCCTTCTACATAAATTTCCATTCTATTACCCATCGGCCAAAAAGGTGTTGTTTTGGGTTTGATGATGTGCGCACCTTATTTAGACGTCATCATACTTTTTAACTGTGTTCAAGAGTAACAGTAAACAATGCACATGCGTTGTCATTGCATGCGTTGCTATGGCGACTGTTGCTGTTTGATAATTTTTTCATAACTCTTTTTCTCACTTTTAATTTTGTTATGCATTAAGTTGGTGACTTTATTTTTGAGATATGGGACCAGAGAGATCCCACAAATATTTGAGTAGTGAACAAAACAGAATTTCATAATTTTAACAATATTTTTATTTTCATTGTTTTAATTAAGAATCAGAAATTCTAACCAGCAGTTCAAACTGGATCGTTTTTAATACTAATTCAGGTGAATATCACACATAAAGAGGGTCCAAACTGATTGCCACGGTCCCAAAGGTTAGAGTTGAAGCAAGAAAAAAAACAATGCCAAGGATTATCTTACTGAGGCTGAAAAAGCCAAAGAACGTAGACCGGAATACCTTTTGACAACATATATTTTGCCAATGGGTAGCCTGTGATCACCTTTTGACGATCAAAAAAATTTTTTTAGAGAAAACATCCAAAGCCAATTTTGCCCATCAGGCTGTTTTTAATAGGAAATAATCCATAAAGTTTATTTTGTCCGGTTTTTTTTTTTTTTTTTTTTTTTTTTTTNAGTTGCTAAAATCCTATATTTTTAATACGATATTATTTATTACAACAACTGAATCTCGAATGCACGCATTTAGTAAACTTTTTTTGAAGAATCCGATTCGCGTGATTTAGCTGTCAATCTTTTTACGGTAGTTGCTGGTGAGGATTTAATGATTTTTTTTTAATGAAGATAATTTAAAAAAATGAAAAAAAGAAATAAATAGTGTGTCCCCCCCCAACAGAATTCGAGAATATCACCCATAATATTATAATAGGGGTGCACAACCTGCGGCCAATGCGGCCCTTCGACTACTGAAGTGCGGCCCGTGAGAGCTTCTAAACACAATGAATTTTTTTTTAAAAAATGGCAATTTTTAATCGCACTTTTAAGTCATCACGTTTCAACACAATCAATTTCAACAGATTCTTTAGTAAATGTATGTTTAACGCGCTTTGTTTAAGCCGATTTTATCGCAAATATAAATGATTTTTTTAAAACAGTTATTTCCGCTTTTCCACGCGATTTCGAAAAGGTCGAATTTTTATTATGATGCAAGTTTCAGATCACCCATTTAAATAATCACTTTTTGGTGCAGTTTACTTGTGACAATTTCATCTTAAATCTAAGTGATTTTTTTATCTTTTTTTTCGCAATTCTTTCTTTTTTTCAAAAAATTTTCTTCGACAGTTATTACTATGCGTTCCCATGTACTATAAAAAATTCCATTCATTCTATTACGACATGCAAATTTTAAATCGTGCATTTGACACGCTTTATTCGTGCTGAGTTCAGCATAAATATAAGAAATTTTTCCCNCTAAACTTTTCCACATGATTTTGACGATCCCGTTATTTAACTACGATGTTATTGCGGCACGTGATTGTTAATCGCGAAATTAATTAATCACTTTTTGATACGGTATTTCGGTGCAGTTTTATCGTAAATCCTAGTTATTTTTCCTTCATTTTTTTTTCCCCACAACGAATATTATTTGGTCGAATGTGCTAATGAATTGTGATTTGATCAAAAACCAAATATTCGGCAAAAAAAAAAAAGAAGAAAAATTGACTGAGCGCGGCACACGGGCCCAATAACAAAATCTTTTAGCAGCATAGTAACTCTGAAACTAAAATTTCAATGCTCAGAATAATATTTCCTGGAAAAACGTATTCATAAATTAACTCTAAAAAATAAGGCCAATCAAGAACGTTTTTGAAAATGTCGAAAAGCGAAACAGTGAACATAAAAATCAATCTAAATTTTTGAAAGAAAATTTTAAAGCTGAACATCTCAGTTTTCAAATTACCAGAAAAAGCAAAGATAAAAGAATTAAGTCAACATAAATGATATTAAAAATTACCGTGTTATAATAAAAACGTCTAAAAGAAGGATTTTTTTTAGTTAAAGAAAATAAAAAGTTAGAAAAAACGTTCTTAATTTTTTAAATGAAAATCTTAAGCTGAAAATCTCAATTTAAATTTTTCTCATTGCCATAATGTTAGAAGAAAAAAAATTGCTATAATATAAATTTTATTAGTCACTTCATTTTTAAAAAAAATGCTCATTCATAATAAAAATGCCTAAAAAAAGAAAAACAGAAAAAAGTAATTTTTCTCAGTTCCTGAAACAAAACTTTAATACTGAATATCACACTTTTCTATGATACTGGTTACTATATTATAGTACAGGGAAAGAGTGATAATAAATTAATAGTATGAGACATTCTGTTAAAATGCTAGATTATAATAAAAACAGCAAAAAATGTCAAAAAAATCCTTCTCGATTCTTAAAGTATCGAAAAAATGACAAAATTGACTTGTCTGATTATAATTTTTTTTTTAAAATTAATAACTATAAAAATTCAAAAATAAAAAAAAACTTTAAAAAATACATTTCTAAAAAATATTCTGCCGAATATTTGACTGATCATTCAACCAACTGAATTTCTCACAGAAGGGCCAAATACTCGTTACATCCCTAATTTAAATGCAATGTTATTGAAACTTGAGAAATTCATAAAATGACGAAAAACTTTAATTTTTAAACTGCTCACTGTTTGTAGTTTAGATTTCAATTTTTGTTGCTTAAGTGATCTTTTTCGATAAAAAAAAGGAAAATGTTTACGATACAAAAAAATATAATAATTAATAAAATAAAATAATAAAGTACATTTTAAAATAAGCATTGAATTTTATCTTGAACTATCACAGTTTTGNTAGATATTTGTTTAGGCTTTTGTTTAAAACCTATAAATTTTCTTCAATTAAAATATTTAATTTGAATTTATATTACTTAATTATGACTAAACTTTTTCCTACTTTCATTCTGTGGACATTGCAGTTTTTTTTTATTTATTAGAATTTAATTCTAAAATGAATTTTGGTATTGCATGATATGATTAAAAAAAACAAAAAAACATTTCTTTTCTTCAATGTTTATTTATTTTGATAAATCTATTGTTCATATGATAAAAATAGCAATTTTTTTTTGTAAGAAAAAAAAAGTATAATCTTTTTTATTTTTGAAGGAATTCTAATAATGGAACACCTTTAATTTTTTACAAATATGTTTATTGATAAAAAAAATGGAGTGCTATTGTTTAAATAAACATTACTACATTTGTCATCAACATGTCTAAATACATGTGCGGCCCTTCGTTAGCCAACTTGTTGTGCAAGTGGCTCTTCACTCAAAAAGGTTGTGCACCCCTATGTTAGAATAAAAAATATAAATATTACGTATTCAAAAAAAAATTCTTTTGTCAAAAAAGTTTTATGTTGAAGCTTTTATTACTTTAAATCAGTAACATGTTATCATTAAAAGTACTTTGGAGAAAGATATTATTAATATTAGAAATGCAGAAAGCCTGAAAAAATTCTGCCAAGGGGTATATTTCCTAGCTTTCAATATTTTTTTAATCATGCTTAACCGAATTTTAATTTAATTAAAACAATAATTTAACCCTTATCACATTTCATAAAAAGCAAACGTAAAATACTTTACACTTTTCGTAACAATGTTACAGCTAACTTTTTATTTTAATACTAATGTAAGACTCATTAATTTACAGTCGCAACTAAATCGATAACAAAAATCTATTTATAATTCTTTATTTCTTACCACAAAAATGNCTCACTGTTTGTAGTTTAGATTTCAATTTTTTGTTGCTTAAGTGATCTTTTTCGATAAAAAAAAGGAAAATGTTTACGATACAAAAAAATATAATAATTAAAAAAATAAAATAATAAAGTACATTATAAAATAAGCATTGAATTTTATCTTGAGCTATAACAGTTTTGTTTTTATTTTAGGCTTTTGTCTAAAACCTATAAATTTTCTTCAATTAAAATACTTAATTTGAATTTATATTACTTAATTATAACTAAACTTTTTCCTACTTTCATTCTGTGGACATTGCAGTTTTCTTTTATTTATTAGAATTTAATTCTAAAATAAATTTTGGTATTGCATGATATGATTAAAAAAAAAAAAAAACATTTCTTTTCTTCAATGTTTATTTATTTTGATAAATCTATTGTTCATATGATAAAAATAGCAATTTTTTTTTGTAAAAAAAAAAAGTATAATCTTTTTTATTTTTGAAGGAATTCTAATAATGGAACACCTTTAATTTTTTACAAATATGTTTATTGATAAAAAAAATGGAGTGCTATTGTTTAAATAAACATTACTACATTTGTCATCAACATGTCTAAATACATGTGCGGCCCTTCGTTAGCCAACTTGTTGTGCAAGTGGCTCTTCACTCGAAAAGGTTGTGCACCCCTATGTTAGAATAAAAAATATAAATATTACGTATTCAAAAAAAAATTCTTTTGTCAAAAAAGTTTTATGTTGAAGCTTTTATTACTTTAAATCAGTAACATGTTATCATTAAAAGTACTTTGGAGAAAGATATTATTAATATTAGAAATGCAGAAAGCCTGAAAAAATTCTGCCAAGGGGTATATTTCCTAGCTTTCAATATTTTTTTAATCATGCTTAACCGAATTTTAATTTAATTAAAACAATAATTTAACCCTTATCACATTTCATAAAAAGCAAACGTAAAATACTTTACACTTTTCGTAACAATGTTACAGCTAACTTTTTATTTTAATACTAATGTAAGACTCATTAATTTACAGTCGCAACTAAATCGATAACAAAAATCTATTTATAATTCTTTATTTCTTACCACAAAAATGTTTCAGATACATGATTATACTAATTCTCAGAGCCTTTTGGAATAAAAAGTTATTCCATGCTCAATTAAAAACAATTATATATATATTTTTGTAAACACAGCACTTTTGTTATTTCAAGTTAGTAACATACATATTTGTTATTATTAAAAGTATGTTGAAGAAAAATATTAGTGCTAGAGAGTTTTGTCGCAGAAAAGCCAAAAAAAAATCTGTCACAAGCTTCAGCTATTAGTGTACACAACAAAATGGCTCTTGCTTAAAAAAACAACCCTTGTAATAACTAAAAATGAGGAATTACTTACTTGAAGTTCATCGATGAAAGATTTTGCATTTGAAAATGTGGCCAATTGAGCGGCTGAACCAAATGTTACTCTCGACATAGCAGCACTCGCTCCCCGCCACAAGGCGAAGAATCCATAACCTTTGACAACATTTTTAAAAGCTCTCAGCATTCCCTCGTGTTTATGCTGAAACCCAACAGCAATAGTGGATGACGCTTGTATTTGAGTTTTAACCTATTTTGAAAAGAAGAATTAACTCTCATTCATTATTAAAAGCATGGGGAGATTTCTGTATCATGATCTGTGGCAGAATAATCAACAAGCAACTTCCTGAGCGAAAGCGGCCTGAGAGAAACTTTAAAAAAACATCACAGAAGGGGACTAACTCAAAGATATAACTCGTAGCCACCACTAGAAAAACATCTACTTGTTTTTATTTTTTTTTAAAAATTGCAAGTTTAAAATTTATTTGGCACCTTGGCAATTGTAGTTGGTACTACAGATCACAAATACAAAAGTTGAAACAATAGCTGAAATCTTTGAGTCTTACTGTTCTTTTTTCCCCTCTTTACATTAGCTGGATGGCCACTCTTGTGTCAGCTATTTTGGGCTAACTATACTTATTTTAATTGAGGGAAACTTACTTAAATAATGCTATAGTAAATGAAATAGTTTATCATTTACTATAGCATTTACTGAATATCCCAGAAATGGCTAGGAGCCATACCCCTTCAGTGATTTTTTATCTTCCTGCAGGCCACTGTGTGGAAATTGCCAAGACTTGGCGATTACTTTGGCTAGATCAAAATACGCAAATCTTCCTATCACACAAAACTTGGCAATTATTTTGGTGTAAATACTGATATGGAGATGTGATTACCATGTAGAAAGGACTTCCAACTAAAGCACCAAGGCAGCCAGCTGAAGCACCAGCAGCTATACTACGAAGGAAACTGATGCCATCCTTCGAATCAATGACACCACTCTTCTGCATAAAATCAAACGATCCCAAACGAACACCATTCATACAGAATTGGTACCACAAAGCAGGAACAAGACCTTTTTGGAGAGCTAGGATTCCATCACTTTTAGCTATCACATAAAAAGCTTGGAATGCGTTCTTATAGTGCTTAGTATAAACTCCGCGATTTTGAAGTTCTCCTTGTAGCTGCAAACGTGTTTTAACCACTTCTAAAGGATTGGTGAAAAACCCAGCACAACACGCAGCGATTCCTCCAATCGCGAATTCCATAGTTGCAATTGAAAATCACTAAAAAAAAACTCGACGTTATGTTATCAGATCAAAATAACCAACAAATACGTGTTGCGTTTGTGCATATATTACTCTTCAATAAAATCCTTAGCATACAAGTCATAAATTTAACAACACTGAAATAATGCTGCATTTTTTTTTCCAACTTATTATAGCCCTAATGAAGTGAGACACAAATCAAGACATCTTTCTAAAAGAACAGATAAAACACGAGAGGACTACACATCAATCACAATTAGCTCATATCCGACCTCCACCGCTGAAATGGATGTAAACAAATAAAGATGATGAAATAGAACACAATTACGGTCCCGATTATTTAATTTTGCTACTCTTAACCAAGAAATCAAAATACGAAGAAACCGGCGCCACTCAGTCAGGAAATCTTATTGGCTAATTTTATCATCATTAACATCGTTATCGCTTAATCGTTGTTTATGTTTATTAGATTTGGCTATTTCGTTTTTTTTTTTTAATTTTTATTTTGCTGTGCTTTTTGAATTATTTTTGGAGTTTATCAATTCGTATCGTCATTTCTCAATCGACATTTACCAATACCTCCCAGAAAAAAGAAGCACAGGTTATCGAACATACCCAGAAAGCATACAATCTTGCGTCGGAATTTTCCTTTTGTCACGAAGGGGATATTTCCATATCGTGATCTGTCGCACCAACTACAAACGCCAAGGTGCCAAATAAATTTTTAAATTGCGAATTAAAAAAAAACGTGTAGATGTTTGTTCGGAGGTGACTGAGAGTTATAACTTTTCGAGTTGCCCAATTTCTGTGATTTTTTTTCTCGATTATTCTGCCACAGATCACGATACGAAATCTCCTCTCACAAAAACTTTTGAACTAAAAACCTTGTATCGATATAGCTGTTGTTGTAGTTGTAGTTAATTTACGTCGCACTAAAGCTGCATAATGGGCTATGGGCGACAGTCTGGGAAACATCCCCGAGGATGATCCGAAGACAAGCCATCACAATTTTGATCCTCTGCAGAGGGGATGCCACCCCCACTTCGGTAGCCTAACGACCTGCACACGAAGTCGAGCACTTTACAGTAGAACAGTTTAACAAGGACCCATACCGCACCCCCTCGATCCCTACGCAGACTGATCCAAGTTTTCTCCCACCCGCACACTGACCGCAGCCAGTGATACTTGACTTCGGTGATCTTCTGGGAACCGTGTCTTAACGATCAGTCCACTGCGGGACAATAAAGGGAAAATATAGCAATTTCAAACCTTTCATCCTAGAAGGATAACAGATGATTTTTAAAGATTTTTAAGAAATACTGTCACTTTGGTTTTTTTAAAAAAAGCGAATGGTTTACCTTGTTTTAGTATTTTATCATGGTTTTCATGATAAGGTAAACAGAAATATTAAGCGAAAAGCTTTTTCCACGGGAAGCGAAATAATGCAAACACTAACCTTTTCGCAAAAATATTAATAAGCAATAAAAAAAAAACTTCATTCAAGGAAGAGCAAATAAACGAACACAATACCTAATATTTTTTATAGTTTTCAATGATCCTGCTAAACTACAATACAAAAAACTTCTTTTAAAATTTTTATACAATCACCGATTGGATCTAAAAAGTAAGGAATACATTTCTTGTAGTTGAGCTTTTTATGCGGGATACAGCGCAAAATGCGTCTTTATGAAAATGATCACAGATTTAATAAAAAAAAAGCGTGTTAAAGAAAAATGGAGTGGGTTCAAGTTTTAAACATTTATTTATTTATTTCAAATGGCAGAGGAGAATTGACATGTTAAAAAGCAAAAACACAGGAACAAAACAAGAAAGTAAAAAGTCATTTCCTCAGGAGTGCTCTTGCTTCCCAATATTGTTCGGTAGACGACGACCCGTGGAGGGCCCTGCAGCACAGGATGTGGCTGCCATCCAAAACAACCCCCTCTCATGCACAGAGAACAATAGGGATCAGGTGCCAGCCCTAAACGAAACAAGTGCGCGGCTAGGCAGTCATGTCAGGTATATAGTCGAAACTGAGCCACCGCTTCGCAGCGCGGCCAGTCTGGAATGGTGTTCTGTCGAAGATCTCTCCACACTTTGTTTTTTAGCCTTTCTGACAATTGATGATGGAAATCCTTATTGACTTTTGATCTAATAATCCCTTTTAAAGTTGAGAAGGGGACTGGGCTACTAAGAGCCTGGAGAATTCTCGTGCCTCTCTTTGCCAAAGCATCAGCCCTCTCATTTCGTGCAATATCACAGTGCCCGGGAATCCATTGTAGGGCTACAGTTCTGCCTAAATGGTGGAGTTTACGTATCGCATTCTGACATTTTAGAACGTCGCAATTGGAAGGGCAATGTATAGATTCAATCGAGCAAAGCGCCGCCTTCGAGTCTGAAAGGATAAACACATTTGAAAAAGGCTCAATAAAACAAAAAAAACTGTTCGATTGCAATACGGATTGCAACAACTTCCCCGTCAAAAGCAACTCTATTGGCACCCACTGGGGCACCAAGGGAGAAGAGATTACAAAAGATATCAGCTCCAGCATTTGGTTGATCTGGATCGAAAGAGCCATCTGTAAAAACTCTCAACCAGAGTGGTTCCGGGTAACGGATTCCCATTGTCTCCAGCGCAGGAAGGTGGAGAGCAGCAGCAGACGTTTCTCTTTTGACAATGTCCTGTTCAAGAGAAAGCCTGACATTAATTTTTTGGTAGTCAAGAGGGCTCACCAGTTCCAGCAGACCTCCTAGTTGGGGCGGATCGATCCCAATCAATTGATCTTTGATGGTCTGAATAAATCCATTTTGAGTTTTTAAACTACGAGGAGTAAAACAAACTAAGGTAAACAACGTTTGAGAACACAAAAAATATTTATAAATGTAGACAGCTGCTTCGGATGCTCAAAGGGCAACCTTCATCAGTGCAACCGAAAGAAACATTTCTTTCTGTGAATGAATGAACTAAGGAAAAAGACTATTCCCCTCCCTCCCAGTAGAATAAAGCAGATTGAAAGAAAGAGAGAGAATTTTTCCACGGAATAAAGAGTTATAAAGAGTAACATATAAAACTAATAATTGCAGAAGCATGCCGTCATACAAGTTTGGGACAGTGAAGTCACGTCCAGAATAACATCTTAGCTGATATCACACCAGCAGAATCAAACATTATTGTCAATGAAAATTTCATGACAAGGTTGATTCACAAACGTTACGGGAAAAAAACACTATATATCTAGGTTTAAGATGATTTTCACCTAAAGAAAAGCTTAATTAAAGGATTTTTTCACGTTTGAAAAATTTAAGTCAACCTCATTTTAAAGATTTTTTCTGAAGGATGCCAAGGTTTACACGGTTTTTAACTAGTGTGGCGTAACTACCACAGCGAAAATTAAACACCAATTCATTAGTGTATAAGACGTGCTAACTTGATTTAATCTTGATAGATGAAGGTTGGCATTGTCGACAATACATTTTCCCAGATTAGGATAAAGTGGGCAGAATAGAGCAGATTGTCACAGACCTCATTTTAATGTTAGAAGTCTTAGAAGTTTTTGCTGAAGTTTTTTGCTGAATGAAAATAAACCTTTTTTTTTGTTATCTGGCTCCTTTTATTCTCTTGGTGGTGATCTGAGTTTTGTGTATTGGTCATGGGCTATAAGTGGCGTAGAGTAGCACTCCCTACCTATGGCAACTCTTGACATGCTTTCACCATAGCGTGTAGAGAGTCATAGGAGAAGAAAGTACGCCAGTTTCTCTCTTGATTTTCAAATGGATTAAAACTTTTCAAGTTAGGAAACTATATGGAATTGAAAACTACATTGAACACAGTTCTAAAAGAAAGTGCTGCAGAAATTTAAAAAAATACTTGTAACAATTAAATATGAAAGAAAAAAATTTAAGAATTATCGTTGCATATTCTTATACAATTGAGAGGAAAAGGGAGAGGATTAGGACATGGAACCAGTCTTCTCCCCAGATGGCGTATTCGAACGTTGCGATCGCTCGAATGGTCCCTAAAATTTGCTACCACACAAGCTATAAACTAGTTCAATATTTCTGTGATTGATGGCCTACGAAAGTTTTATCGCTTTTTAAAAATAAATACAACCAAAACTTTGAAAACAAGGACTATTTAGACCCTGATAAAGCCACTGTCTGCAAGCATTTTAAATAAAATACTTGTAATCATACTGACTCAGCTGAAGAGTTAAAATATGTCCACAATAATTCCAAAAGTAACAACTTTATCTAATCGCGTTATAAGAATTTTAGGATGCAACCCGAGTCCCATGACTTTACAAGGAACTAATACTTATGTAATTGGCATTGGTGCAAAGTGTGTATTAAATATGTGTACCAGATATTCTGTTTAATATCGAGATTTATCTGTGAAAAACAAGGGCAGAATTGCGGCGACATTGTCACAGAGTTCTTGCAGAAAGATATTTCTTTAGGAAATTAAAAAATTTTGGTTTGCTTTAAATATTCCCATATATTTCAAACAGTATGAAAAATTCGAATCGTGCATTTGAGTATTTACTTATTAAGTCAATTATTCTATCAATTTTTGGCTATTATTAGATAATCTTGATTTTCTTCGTAGTTTTTAAATCCGATATTAATCTCGAAACGAAACACGCATTTAAGTAATCCCTTTTTAGAAACCCCTTAACCGTTTTTTTTTCTGCAATTATTACTATGGATTTTATGATATTTAATTCATTGGGATGTTTAATTACAAAATACGATGAAGAAGTGAATTAGTGTATTTTTACCCCAACAAAATGCAAGAATATCACCTAAAATATTAGAATAAAAAAGTATTGCATGTTTTATTAAAAATAATTATCCTATAATTTTATTTTGTAAACCCAGTATTTTTGTTATTTTAAATGAGTAACATAGATGTTTGTTATTATTGAAAGTATCTTGCAGAAAGATATTAGTACTAGAGAGTTTTGTCACAGATAGCCCGAAAATATTCTGCCACAGGGTAAAGATAAGATTTAGGTAAGATTTAATTAATATAGGTATAGGTAAAGGTAAGGTATCGGTAAGATTTAATTAAATTGGAGATGTGAGGAGAAAAAAACAAAGGCTGCAATTATTTAGAAATGAAATCAAGATCTTTCTTATAACATTAATAAAGCAACCTTTACAATAAAAACTAATAGAACTACATAAGAACAATAATTTAACAATTCTTCTCTGTTTTTCTAACCCAACGAAATGTTTGAACCAGTTCATTAAAAATCGCATTGGAAACTAGGGTCACATTTTTTCTTCTTAGCTTTGTTTTAAATGTCCCATGTTTCATACTCAATATCTTTTCTACATTATTTTAAGCCACATTTCTTACTTGCCAACTTTTCAGTTTAAATTGCTAGTAGTTCATTTCACTTGTTTAATCTTTTGAGATTCCCAGAAATAATTATCCTAAGTGGACATAACATAAACAAGAAAGATGGTCATCATGAACTATATTGGTTCCACAGTATTTTCTATATACAGGCAGAGCTCATTCTAGGCAGGGTAAACAGGGCGCAGCACCCTACTGCCCTTTTAGTCAAAAGAATCCACCTTGTTGTCCCTGAAGTAAATTAGTGTCCTGATGTATTAAGACTCCATACCCTTTTTGCTCTTTCTTTCCTCAACTCTTTATTTTTTCCCCAAACTCTACAGTGGATTTCTCAAACTTTTATTTTTAACTCTTTTTATTTAGTTTGTCATTGCTGTCAATACAAAGATTTATATGAGAAAGGAAAAATAGCCAACAAACCCCCTTGTTGCACTTGTCTTTGAAAGTTTGCAGTTACTTTCACTATCATTAAATCATAATTATTATTAATCATTTTAATTATTAAATCATAACTATCTATACACACTTAAAAACATACATTTATTATTTTATTAATATATGCATGCATTTTAAATAAATTACCAAGCTAATTAGCTCGATACATATGTTAATTTATTAATGAAAATTAGTAATTAATATGATTGCTTTGCTACTTTTAGTAAAGTAAAAAAAAAATTTCTTTTACTAATAGACAATGTTTTTTAATAAAACGTGTAAAGCCCCTGGAAAGAAATTATTGCCTTTTTAGAATAATAATGCCCTTTTTTTAAACTTTTGCACCCTGCCCTTTTTTTTGCCTAGACTGAGCTCTGATACAGGAGTACAACTGGGGAGGACAATCTTACTTTTCATAAATTGTATTTTAAAAAAATTAAGAGCAAAAACATTGCATCATATATTTTTTTAAAAATGCAAAAAGAGTAATTTTTTTTTTCTATAAATAGTGATTGATTATCATGCAAACACAAATAATTTGAATACTTTATCACCAGGAGAACTTAAAAAGTGAACCAAAATCTATTATTTCTGCGTGAGAATGTAGTTTTTAAGTACTCAACTACTGTCACTAAATATGCTTGACCTAAATTTATTATTTAAGGATATTTTGTTATTTAAGGATTGCAAATGGTTAGCATCTCATTTTTTTTAACAAAAATTATGCATATTTTAAAAATGCTTTATTTTATGTGCATTGAATTTTTTGGATAATAAAAATATATTTGTTAAAATGATTGCATACCTTAAAAATGCTTTATTTTATGTATATGAAGTGTTCGATTTTAAACAGTATGACATGTTGTAGGAGCAGAAAACATTTTCGTGCCCTGCTTGCTTTTACCATCGTAGCATTTTTAAAAAGTGCTCAAGGGAGCTTATTTTTGTTCTTTATTTAAAAGCCCATAATGGTGCTTTCTTCATTGGGTGTTTTTACAAAGTGTTTAATTTTCCTTTTTTAAAAATTAGATTTCTTCTTAACCATGTTGATTTTTGCCAAGAATTATGCATAAGCGTGCTTTTCACATTGTTCTATTCAACGTTTTCACGATTCATTCGAGTACAATGCATTCCGGTGTACCGTTGGTCAGTAGCGTATGTAAGCGCTAATCATTTTACATATTTGATGATATACTTGTGTGTCCGCATGTGCGTCTACTGAGCTGAATTCTGTGAGATTCTTGCACTCTCGTTTGCAACTCTGCTGCATTCTGCAAGATATTATCAAATTCAGGCTTCATTTTCTACCCTTTGGAATCAAAACCTCTCAATCTCTTTATGGTGGCTATCAATCAATATATAATCACTAATATAATCAAGAAAAGAGTTCTTTGTCAGAAACTAGTTATTTTATCATGATCATGTAAAGTCTTAGAAAATTATTTTTGCACTTTGTTAATGTATATAGTACTTAAATATTTCTTGAGTGCTTAAAAAGTACTTAAAATTAAGCACTAAATCCTTTTAAGTACTAATAGGTTCTTATTTTTTGTTGAAAGATTTGGCTATGCATCCTGTGTTAAGACAGTCCTGAGCATAAATTTTGATGCTGATTTTGCAGGATTGTTTTTTAAAATGTGTGTCTGTGTAATTTGATGTTTAGATATTTTATTTTTCAGGCGAATATTGCTAGATAGTGGAAATCCTAGTGTTCCTGAATATATTGATTTACTCAAAAATGTTCTATTAAACCAAAATTGTTCACTGAGTAATATTGTAGTGAGCCACTGGCATTTGGATCACATTGGTGGCGTACCAGATATATTGGAAAAAATACCAGGTAAATTAATTTGCAATATCTTTCTTCTTTAATTTGCTTTTTCTTCCATTGCATTTTCTTCTCTTCAATTTCTTTTTAAGTGTTTCTGATTTATTTATTTTTGATAAGTAAGCAATCATGACTAATACAATTTGTCTAAAGTAAAAACTCCCAAAGCCATTCATTTGGTCCCGCTGCAGTGGCTATGGTAACGAGGTATAACTATTCAAAGTAGGGGTGTGGGGTCACTGTTTAGGGCAGGTTTTAAATCGGGTCAGGGAGAGAAAGGGAATATTTTTCTGCGTTGTTAGCCCTTGAGTGAAGTGAAGCTACCCTCCTTGAAATGCACTATTCTTGTTTCCATAGCAGCAGACAGGCTCAGACTTTGTGGCAGGGGAGTTCTTACCATAGGCAAAAAAATTTGCACAATAAGCAGGGCTTTTTTTTCATTTCCAAAAGCCAGAGTTGCAGATAGACCTCTACACCACAAAAGAGGGCACATAAGAAGATAAAGAAAAGAAAGGAAAGACGTAACAAGCATTGAGAGAAAAACTCTATGAATTCAATAAGTTCCCTGCTCATCAGTAACGGTCCCACAAAGAGTTGTCCTTTAGTGCCACTGCGATGAAACCTTTTTTTTTTTTTGTGGCCCACAAACTAAAATATATTAGTTGTCGTATTTTTGCGAACAATTTTCATAAAAAAATCCATATGAGTTTAAAATACTTTTCTTTCGTTTAAAAAAACCTATTTTCTTTTTTGCTGTGAAATTTAACATGCATTTTGTATTTTTGCGAACAATTTACATAAAAAATCCATATGGGTTTAAAATACTTTTCTTTCGTTTAAAAAAACCTATTTTTTTCGTTGCTGTGAAATTTAACATACCAACGGTGCAACAAAATTTGTTTCTCAGATTTTGCATTCAAAAAAATATTTATTCAAATACAAAAATAATCTTACATTTTGCTCTTTTTTACGTCGCTTTTTTGTATTTTGTGGACGTAATTTAGCATGTGCTTATCAAAAATTTTCTTGAAGAAATTCTCCCATTTTTTTGTATTTTGTGGACGTAATTTAGCATGTGCTTATCAAAAATTTTCTTGAAGAAATTCTCCCATTTTACTTTTTAAAACTACTCCTTTTCTACAGAATTATTTACAATTGTAAATTTTAAAACATATAAAAGAGGGAACGAATATCATGTCTTATTTAAATTCCTTGAATTGAATGTCGCACGAGCGGAAAAGGAAAAAAGATTTAATTTCATATGCTCGAGAATTTTTTGTTTGTTTTGTTACTATAATTCCTAATAAAAATTTTTTTTTTTAATTTATCGCAGAATGAAATTTAAAAGAAAAAACAAATCTTTTCATTAAGTTTGTGATTGAGGGAAGATTCAAAATGATACGTAAAAGCATTATTTGTAATGCTTGTTATTTTGTATTTTAATATTGAAGGAACTTTGATAAAAATCTGACAGTAATATTTTTGATAAAGTTGTGGCCCACCGTTTAACTGGTGTTTTTAATTGCAGCCCTAAGCCACATGTAAGTTGAAAAACCCTAACCTAAAAAAATGTTTAAAAAAAGTTCCTAATGCAGAAAACAAAAGACTTACCATCAGCATCCTGATAATAATAATGAATGCCCCGGTAATAATGAAATGATTTCCGTCTGGCTGTTTTCATGCGCAACGATTAGCTAAGATTTCCTTTTAAAACTCTTTAATCTTGTTCATTATATATTTCTCATTTATTATTTTATTCTTTATTTTATGTTTTTGTAAAATGGCAGCATTTTTCTGAGTAAAATGAGAATTTATGGCATGCTTTGTGATAGTTTTGTGACCAATACAATGAATACAGCTCTATTTCAGTACCATGCCACAAAGATTATCGTCTGACGTGATAAATAATTTAAACAGAGCCCTGATGTCTTAGAGGATAGAACGTTTGCCTTCCAATAAGTATTGTTGATATGTGTGGGAAGTATAATAAATATATAAGCATTATTAAATCTACTCTCATTATTAAACTTGAAAAAAAAAAACATAAATTAAATGTTTGTTTTTCATGTCAAAATCAGAGTTCATTCCTTTGCATGAATTCTGATTTTTACAAGAAGATTTGTTTTATTTGCTGTTTTTAAGTATAAATAAAAAGTAATTGGATCACCGTTTATGCTTTTCCATGAGCATAATTAATAACACCAAAGAATTAAATTTATCAAAATTCTATTGAGGCAGGAAATAATGCTTCAATTCTAATTATATTTCTTTAACGCTTTGCAATTGCATGTCTACTCTCTGCCACCAAAGCTTTTTTGCTGTTCCAGTCGTATGTCTGCTCTCAGCCACCACAGCTTAATGGCGAACTACATATATTGCGGCACTGTGAAGAAGTAAAGATTGTTCTGTATGTTCAAACAGAAAAATTAAAAAACGCCAAACTAATTATTTTTGCGAGACATGTTCTCGAAAACCAGGGCTTCCTGTTGAAGACTGCTTTGAAGGATAACACACAATGGAGAAATATAAAATATAATTTTTATATAAAATTAAGACATATTATTGTGTTACATAATCTAAAATTTAAAAAAGAATCAATAAATTTTATTTTTCCTTCATAATCTTGCATACTATGTATTACTATTGGTTCATCGGAAATTAATTCCCACCATCATGCAAGGTTAGCAAGCTTAAATGTTAAACAAAGTACAATTTATTTACAAAATTATCACCATTCAAAATCAAATATTACATTGTTTGCACTCAGCAGCAATCTATAACAAAAGACAAATTTTGATGCAGTTTCTAAACCTAAACAATTTCTTAATATGCTATGCACGAACAAGAAATTTAAGAAGATTCTCTCAAGTCCAGCAGAACTAGCAGGCATGAAGGAACAAGCAAGATTTGTGAAACTTTCATCTATTGCATATTTTTTAAAACTGGACCACCCTGTAGCAGCTGGGGTAGTTGTCAAAATTTGACTGGAAAAATAAGTTTTAGGAAATGGGGCCAATTTGTTTTGTAAAGCTATGACATAAGGTACAAAATCTGAGTTAATATTGGCGAGTAAAATTCTAGCACTTTCTTCTTGAGCACATGATAATTTCAATCCCAAATACTTTGGATGCAGCATATAAACTAGCAAATGATAATCAGTAACTGCTTGTTTAAATCTGTATGTCACTTCTTTTTCATAAACAGCCATAAGATTCTCTTCCTTTGTTAGATTAATCCAAACAATGAATTAAAAAATTTGTTACAGTTGCATGGAGTTACATTTTTCAGTTTACTTAAACAAAATGTCATTAAGCAATTCAATTACTAGAACTAATATAGGCGTTTTTTTAATTTTCTGCCAGTTTTTGCATGCTTTTGCCTGTTATAACCAGTTTCTGCCACTGGTACGGCAAAAAGCCCACTCTGCCATTATGACCCCCGTGTATGACACTTAATACGACCACAAAGGGTTAAACCTTTGGTTAAAAGCTGCAATACTTTTGGAGAGCCATGAATAGATTATGTTTTAAACTACCAAAGAAACAAAAAAATATGTATAAAGTGAACTCTCGCTACTACGATAACTCCCTCTATTACAATAATGTGTCGTGGTCCCAACAAACTTGCATATCAATCAATGTTATCCACCTTTTAATATTGTGATATTCTCTGAAGCAATAAACCAATGTAAAACTATTTTTACCCGTTCAAATTTCAACCTTATTTTCCCCATTTGCTATTGGATTTCAAATAATGTAAAAAATCTTATTTTATCATATTTTGCCTTTTTTCTGTTTTTCCTAGCAATTGAAGTCTCACTGCTGATTATGTAATCCTAAAGGAAAACAAAAAAAATTTTAAATTCTAATTAGATAAAACTTCTTTTAAAAAAAAAACGCGCTTAAAAGCAGCAGAAATTTCAAAAAAAGGATAAATGTAGCAATAAGGGCAATAAACGAAGGAAATAAAAAATATGACCACCGAAGCCAACATCTTCAGAGGGTACCGGCTACGGAGCCATAAAACAAAACCTTTTCTATTGAGGGAGAAGCAAATGCCTAAAGTTACTCCGTCAGTACCTCGAAGGTTTTGTATAGAAGTCCAGGAAAAAACATGAAATGCAAAGAACCAATTTAGAAAAGAAACTCAAACAAAATCATCAGAAAATAAAAACTCACTTTAACCAGTTCAAACAGCGATTTCATAGGCAAACCGAATTACTTTAGTTTTAAGTGTTTCCTTTTCATTCGGTTTGCTTATGAAATCGCTGTTTGACGTAGTTAAAGTGAGTTCACCACATGCAATTCATATTATAATTAAAAAGGTTACTTAAAGAGCATACTTTTTTGGAATTAAAGAGTTTTTAATTAAGAAATGTCCTCAATCCTTTTTTATTTTACATTACTTTGGCGCTTTTCTGCAGCATTGTTTTGCCATTTTTATAGGGATAACTGGAAGGCTGGTGTCACCTCTTGTTGTTTCATATATTCAACATGGTTGGCATGGTTTAAACCATGGTTTTTTGCCAACACTGATATTCAATAGCACTCTGTATGATTATATATATGTTGATTTTCATCATCTTAGCTAGATTCATTTTCGTTAGTGACGATCATTTCATGGGATCAAGTTGTAGGATTTCGTTTTACTGAGTGTTTGGAAAATAAAATTGTGATTTTTTTTAATTGGCGCTAGTTTTAAAAATAAAAAATAAACTGGAACGAAAAATTCCTCCAAATACTCAATAGCTCGGTTTTAGCAGAAACTCGGATAATCGGGATTCTACTGTTATTGTTTTAACATTTTTGTATATTATACCTTAGTGATGTGCAGCAAGTTCAATTTTTATTTATTTACTTTTAAAAATAAATTTTGAAAAGACATCTTTCCAAAAAAATATTTGAATTTACTTGCACATGGCTAGTGGAAAAGTAACATATTTTAATATGGTGTATAAATTCCTTAGGTTGTAAGGTTTCAAAGTTTCCAAGGTCAGATGGCAAACAAGAACCTGTTCTCAATATTGATTATACTTACTTGAACGAAGGGGACATCATATCGACTGAAGGAGCAACACTTCGGTAAATTTTGTTCTTATTTTATATTCAGATTTTATTTTATTTTATAACTGTCGTTAAACAGCCAACCCAATTTGTGGGTTCATGACTACTAATGTTCAACTCCATAGACTTGTCATTTTGAACCCAATCCAGAATACAAGGGATCTCCTGGATCAAGTATTTTGAGAAATTTGCCTTTGTGGAAGACTTTTTGAGGGAATTAACCCGTATTTGCCTGACATAGAAAGAGAAACCACGAAAACCTCTCATGGTTAGCCTTACCTCTAAGAGGACTTTAACCTGCAATCCGTCTACCACTGAGGATATTTTATGTCAGCCCTGGTCGGTGCAAGCCGAGTGCGAAATTCGTATCAAGCAACCATCTCTGGGTTTCGAACAAATTACTAAAATTCATCATTCACGTCGATAATACTGTTATTACCGTAGTTGAACAGCCGATCCAATTTTTGGGTTCACGACTACTAATATTGAACTACATAACCTTGTAAGTTTCTACCCAATCTAGAAGACAAGGGATCTCCTGGATCAAATATCAGGAGAAATTTTGTCTTCCTTGAAGAGTTTTTTAATGAAACTAACCCGCATTTGCGTTACATTGGGAGGAAGACCACGAAAACATCCTACGGTTAGCCTAACGGCAACGGGACTCTAACCAGTGTTTCTTTCACTACAGCGCGAGAATCTCGCATATTTTTTTCTTTTCTTGCATTAAAAAATATTACCACCAGAAATTCGCGCATTAAAAAATATTACCGCCAGAAATTTGCGCATTCTATAAATTAATTTCAAAATTCGCGAATTTCTCGCATTATGGAAAAAGCTTTGAATTACACCATTTAGAATAAAATCTGTTCCACTTTTCTTCCTGGATCTTTCATTATTTTCAACAGCTGCCCCGTTATCTAGCTTCCCTATTTACCAGTATTGTTCACAACCTTTCCGAACAACAGAACATACCCCACGGAACCCCTTTCAGAGCACATTTCTCTGCAACCACGTGTTTACCGTAGGTAAGATTTCTCCATGTAAGACGTTCAAATTTTTTCTACGATGATGCACCAAAAATATTCAATGCTTTAAAAAATAGAAGACGTTAAAAATTTATTATAATTAAAGAAATTATTTTTTTCCAAGNAGACTAATAAATAAAATAAAGAGGCTAAAAGTGGTGTGAAATTTTTAAATTTTGATGATTTTCCATTGGCTATATATAAAATAATTAACTAGTAATAAACATTTATTAAAAATACTGAGTTAGTTTTATGTTTACTTAAATACAAGTGTTTTTTTTAGAAGTTAATAAATGCATAAGTAGTGTAAATCAATAATGAAAAGAAACTTGTTCTGTCCATTAAAACTTAAAATAATTTTTTTCTTCATGAATATATTCTTATTTAAAGTAATTTACAATTCACTGGAGATTTAACTGATAAATTGCTTTCCTGTCTTTGAAATGTTCTGCTTGAATAAAAAATAACCACGATTTTATGTACTCGTAAAAATTAAATAGCAATTTTAAATGAGGTAAAATAATTTAGCTATTTTATTGTTTTGAAATTATATTAATTATCATTAATACATTTTCTGAGATGACTTGGATCAAAAATATAAGAAGGTGAATAAAAAATCTGATTTGAATTAAATCTGATTTTTTTTAATTTTAAATAATGGTTTTTCCCAATTGCGCGATGTCTACTTGATAGTTCCACCTGGTTTTTGTCTCTTTAACTAATATAAAAGCAATTTCACAGCCACTTCAGCCAATCTGTTCATAGAATTCACCTATTTTACATAAAGATGGAACTTCTTGTGTGCTTCATGTTTTAATAACTTAAGAGTTCCACTGCAAAAGATAAATGAAACAGAGGGAGGATCCATCACTGGGTGATATGTCGCTGTTGCAGAGTATTGACCAGTGGCTTAAAAATATATATATAAAATATTATTAATTGGTTAGAGCCGCAATGGCTCAGGGGATAGAGGGTTCACCTTCCAATAAGTTAAACCAGGTTCAAATCCCAGAGATGGCTGGTCAATAGGAATCCAGCTTGCACCAACCACAGTGCTGACGTGAAATATCCTCAGTGATATCAGAATAAATTATTTTAGCAGAATGGTAGCAGAATAAATTATTTTAGCGGAATGGTAGGAATTATTATTTATACTACATTTTTTATTAAAAATAATCTCATACCAAAAAAAAAAAAAAACAGTTCCTTCAATTATTCTAAACAATGCCATTAAATATTATAATAGAAATCTTTCTTCTATTGGTCCATTTTAAAATAATCATAATCTAGCACTAATGCACGTGTACCTAAAAGGAAAAGTCATAATTTACCACAGTGCATTAAATAATTTCTATTTGAAATATTTTGTGTGCATGCTCTCTGAGTAATATATAATTCTATATCAAAGATGCTCAAGACGATAAATAAAATGTAAGTAATTTTGAAATGAAGTTTATTTAAGTTCAATTGAAATCTAAATTATAATGCTTTTAAAAATTGAACTTATTTAATTATGACTGAAAAGTTTAGCCCTTTACATTTAAAGGGTAACTTAAAAGAATATGACCACTCTAAATTAAAAGTTAAGTCTCCATTTATTTCAAAAAACATTACTCATAAGAAATTACTTATTTATTTAAAATTTAAGAGGTCATTATTACGTAATATATAGGTCCCTATTATGTTTTATTTTGGGTCAGAGTCCCCTTGCCATCTGGCTGACTGTGGGAGGTTTTCCTCTCCATGTAATGCAAATGTGGGTTAGTTCCATTAAAAAGTCCTCCACGAAGGCAAATTTCTCCCAATGCTTGATCCAGGAGTTCCCTGATCTTCTGAATTGGGTTCTAAATTACAAGGATACGTAGTTGAACATTAGTAGTTGTAACCCCGAAAATTGGATGGGCTGTTTAACAATGGCTATGAAAAAATAAAAAATATTAATCTGTTAGTACAGAGAGTGGCCACAGAAATTAAGTCTTTAACCAGCAGTAGTAAATATATGATCTCAATAATTCAAATACAGATATTAAGTTTAAATACCAATTGAACTATTAATTTCCATATCATTATTTTTATACTCATAATATAATCTTAAGCCTTTGCACTTATAATTTAAAGCCTTTGCACTTATAAATAGCAATTGAACTATTAATTTCCACATTAATTGTTGTTACACTCATATTATAATCTTAAGTGTTTGCACTTGTAATTAAAAGAATAACCGATCTAATGATAATTTACCATTTGTTAAACAACTCTTCAGCTTAGCATCTGTAAAAAATATACAAAAAAGAAAAAAATTCAGATGCAAAGGCAATATTTTAGTACCTGAGCTCTGACTGTAATAATTTAATTACTATTCCATGTCATTAATAAAACATTGGAAGTTAGATTTTGAAAATTTGTGGAAAACAATAATGAGTAGTATTCCTCATTAATGTATATTAATATGTACCCGAAGCTGGTCGTATAGCAAATAAAATATACAAAATATTTAGAAAAATTCTAGGACCCATTACATATTTCACATAATATCTTACTACAAGTAGCACTTATTTTTTTTATTCATATATTTATTTTTTAATTAAGTATTTTTTCAAGCACCAATACTGTTGATATTTTCTTTCAAACTTTCTCTGTTTTATTACAAATTAAGAATTGCTCATAATCATAAAGCGCGCTTATTGTTTTACAATAAAGATTATGCGGGAAATTATAGAATGTTTCTAACAAACACGTAAAACCGAACTAAGAAAAGGAGAAAATCCTAAAAGTAAAGAAATCCATCCATACTCCTTATAGGAATGCCTTCAATAACAGAAACTTTTGGAGCCTTGAAGGCTCAGGGCCATCCAATGGTTCGATTCCAGAATCGATATTAATGCTGTATTTACATTGATTGAGATGTTAAATTACAATTGACAGGGTGGTATCTGCACCTGGACATACAGATGATCATCTTGTGCTTTACTTAGAAGAAGAAAATAGCCTCTTTAGCGGGGATTGCATTCTGGGTGAAGGAACTGCTGTAAGTATTCCTTGCTGCCTTGCATTGCACAGGGTGCATTGCATTTTTAAAAAGTGCTTTTATTAAAGCTTTCTTTATTGGGTGTTTCTAAAATGTCCTTATTGTTATCTGTTCCAAAATAAGATATTTTATAGACATGTCGGTTTTTGCCACGGAATTTACAAAAAGCGTTGTTTTCAATTATTCCATTCAGTGTTTTCACAATTTATTCAACCACAATAATAATATAATTAAGATTGATATATATATTTGTAAATTCATATAAACTTTCAGTAATAGCAATAAAACATTTTTATGAGTGCACATATCCTAATTATATTTGGCGAGATTTTCGTATTGTGATTTATGGCTGAATGGTCACCAAGTCTTGGCAACTTCTGAGCAGCGGTCACGAGAAATTTAAAAAAAAAAATCACAGCACGGGACCAACTGGAAAGGTATAACTCGTAACCACCCCTGGGCAAATATCTAAATTTTTCTGTTATTAAATTTACAAGTTTAAAATCTATTTGGCACCTTGGCGATTATAGTTGGCATGACAGATTATGACATGGAAATATTCCGAGATATTTTTTTAAAAGATGAAAGATTTTAAAAATATTTTTTGAGTGCTTGAAAAGTGCTTAAGAGGTGCTTGTTTTTTTGTTCAAAAATTTGGCTACTCACCCTCTTTTAAGAAATCCTCTCATAACTGGTCATTATTAGGTTGACACAAGTTTAATTCTGTTATTTATTGATTTTGATTTAATTGAACCAAAATCAAGTGAATTAAAATGGATTTTTATTAGGGGGTTCCGCTCAGGGGCCAGGGTTCATATGCACCTGGAAAAAATTTAAATGTTGTAGTAATATTAAAATATTTTTTTATGATACCAGTTTTTAATTTTTTCCTGGTGTGTATGAATCCTGTCTTTTTTTTGCTTCAATTATTCTCTTGGCCAATTCGAATAAAAGATATTTTTTTGTTTTGGTTCTAAACCCCAATGAGGTACAAATGTTTTGTTAATGCTAAAATATTTTTTAAATAATTAAACCAATATAAACCAGAATGGTTAATACCAAACATTTCACCGCTTCCCTGGTTAACCCAAGTTAACTCGGGTATGTATATATTGCAAACATTTATCATTAGCAAATATTAGCACAAGTAAACTGGGGCATAGCAGAATTCGTCAATATGTATAGTTTTATCACGTTTTTATTCGACCAGAAGCAAAACAAAAAAATAATAATAACCTACTGTGATGGGAAGTTTTCCAATTTTTGTTTGTTTTCTATTTGTGGCTCTGCAGACTTGTTTTGTACAATTGTATATACGATGGTTGATAAATTTACATAGAAAAAAGAGTAAAAAAAAATGATGTTCACGAGCGAAAGTGAAAGTAATGCAGATGATTTTTCTGATTATGAAGATGTAAACATACACAAAGACTAATATTTAACTTTTTTCATTTGCCCGAGATAATTTGGGATAGTAAACTGATGGTAAATTAAATATTTTTTGCACCTATAAAAATTAAAATCTCAACTTAGAACTTGTGCATTATGTTTTGTTTTAGTTCCTTGTATTTATTAATGAAATAAAATAAAATAAATGTTCTTCTCAAAATAATTGTTAAGAGAGCGGTTAATATCTAAAAATTTAAAGAGAGAGATCCTTTTTTTGTTAAAGAAAAATTTTTTGATTACCTCCAGTTGTCATTTGTGAGTGTCACACAATAGCTATTCTATGTTAAGTATTAAGAAAACAGATAATTATTTAGAGAAAAAATTATTCCATCTCTCATAACTCTTAAGTATATTATTTAATTGCAGTGTTCTTTATTTATCATTATGTTTTTTTGATGGATTAAAGTTGCCATCAGTAAATAATAACTAAAAAAATAAAACAAATTTAATAAAAAAAAAAGACAAGCCTTCAACTTTGTTCATGGTTTGCTCATTGATTTGGTGAATGGTGCCTATATGGCCCATTTTATTTCTTATACACGAAATTGTTTGTGCCTTGATGAAGTGCAAGCATATTTCAATGTAAATAAAACCACATTTCATGAAATTTATAATCTTGGCCTAAAATTGGTTAAATTTTTAAATTAACAATGAAGGAAACTCCTTAAGACAATCCACTCATTATGCAAAAGTGTTCTAATGGTTTCTTTCCAAATTTATTTTATTTTGTGTGCCTCTAAAAGAGTATTTGTGATATGGCAGGTCTTTGAAGATTTGCATGATTATATGTTGACCTTAAAAAAAATCTTTGAAATGAGACCTGCGAGAATCTATCCTGGACACGGCCCTGTTATTGAAAATCCAAAGAAGAAAATTGAAGATTACATCAATCACAGAATGGCAAGAGAAAAACAAATATTAGACACTTTGGAAGAAATCAGACCCAATGGACTGACGGCCAAAGAGCTTGTTGCTCGTATTTATATTGTAGGTATTCCCCTTTCAAACATTTTGTATATCATTAGCTTTTCGTAATTAATAAATATATTTTTTTATACGGTGTAAGTCAAAATGAATAGAGCTATTAATAGGCTATAACTATTTAATGAAAGAGAATTTATCAATAAGATTCTGGCCGAATGTAGATGTAACTTGTATACATATGTTGTATGTAATATGTATAATATATATACTATATATTTTTTTACTTATTTAACCGTCAATGAACAGCCAACCCAATTTAGGGTTTACGGCTATCAGAGATGATGGTGTTCCGGAAAAAATCTGGATTTTTCGCTAACTGTGATCTGGAAATCCAAGGTCTAGCAGTTTTAAGAAATCAGCAATCACATATATGTCTAAAAATTCTTATATATTTTATTTAGAAATATTAGAACTAGAATTTATACTTAATGACATCTCTTTCATTTGTAAATATTTTTTCTGTAGAATAGTAAATGCGATTAGACAGATAAGTAAAATTATACATAATTATTCATTTATTTTATGCTGCATGCTATTTATTTAGCATTTCATGCTTTTAAAATATCAATAGTTTAAATTTATGAAGGCATTAATTTTTTGAATAATGATTTTACTCTAAATTTTTCATTAATGATTTTACTCTAGACATTTTCAGGAGTTTTGAGTTGGGCTACTAATGTTCTACTCCGTAGCGTTGTTATTTTGAACCCGATCCGGAAGACAAGGGAACTCCTGGATGAAGTATTGAGAGAAATTTGCCTTTGTGGAAGACTTTTTGAGGAAACTAACCCGCATTTGTGTTACACGGACAGGAAAACTATGAAGACCCGTCACGGTTAGCTTGACAACAAGGGGACTCTAACCCATGATCCGTCTGCCACTGAGGATATTTTTACGTCAGCACTGTGATCGGTGCTAGCCGGGTGCGGAATTCGAATCGACCACCAGCCGTTGCTGGGATTCGAACCCAGGTCATCTGAACGTGAGGCGAGCGCTCTATCCCCTGAACCACCACTTCTCCTGTAGCTTACATATCTCCCAGATCTAGGTGGTAGACCATTTCATACTGAAGCCAGTCACCTTAGTACAAACATGCTATGCCACCTATTTGGAGGTTCTTGATTCACTTCTGTCCACTGTGAATGACAGTTGTAAAATTCTGACACACAGAATGACTCACCATTTTTACTAATGAACTCGTGCATGATTAATTACGTAAAGAAAGTTCCATCTACACTCTCTGTTAATCTTATCGATAAATTTTTTTTTCATTGAATAGCTGTTTGTAGTTGCTCTTTTCACTTTGAATTACCCTGTATTATAAAGCACATGCAAAATAATACAGGGTGCACAGCATTTTTGAAAAGTGTTTTTTTTTTTTAAATTTTTTATTCAAGGTTTGTAAAAAGTGCCATCTTTTTTTTAAAAAATATTTTTTGCAGTGTCGATTGTCGTTCTAAATTACAAATAATGCGTGATTTTCACAATTTTCTTTGCAATATTTATCAGAAACCAGTTATTTTATCATGATTATGTGAAGTTTGTTAAAAAAAATTTCAAATTTATTGATTTTATGTTCATTAATTGAACACTTTAAGCGATAGGGGAAAAAAAAAACAATTTTTTTACTGCACAGATCCTAATCATGATTTTTTGTTTTTTGGAAAGTGATTAAAAATATTTTTGAGTGCTATGAAATACTTAAAAGGTGATTATTTTTTATTGAAAAATCTGGCTACATACCCTGTAGTAGAAAAAAGAAGTCTTACATTGCATTGCAGTCCTTCATGATATTTCTTTCTTTCGATGGATTATGAGGGAAACAATTCTGTTGGGGGCTGTAATACACTATGTGGCCAAAAGTGTCCAAACACCCAGTGGTATAGAGCGTCCTGATGCACATATTAATAATGATGCATCGATGACAGGGAAGACTTTCCAGCAGTTTTTTTATAGGACTTCCATCACAGTTTGCAGTGAGGATTTGGCTAGTTATGTACTTAAATTTGTCCCAAAAATGTTCTGTAGGATCTGAGAAGGCCAGTCAAGTATTTGAACACCCATTTCGTCAAACCACGTTTGCGCCTCGAAGCGTGCCCTGCTGGAAGACAAGAAATCCCCGAAATAGTGTCATAGAGTGCAGCATTGTCCACATCCATTTTAGAGTTCATGTTTCCAACCACTGAAAGTAACAGATCGAGAAACACCCCCACACACACCATAACAACCGGGTGTCTGGATATTTGTGGCCGTATAGTTTGAAAAGGCCTATTCATTTGTCTCCATAAACAATATATACTTTCATCTTAGTTATTTAAGTGAATTTTATGTTATAAGAATGTTATGAAGCATGCATTTAAAAGAAAATATTCAATGTTTGTGTGCTTCTAGGATACACCTAAACATCTGCACGGAGCAGCAGAAGTGAACGTAACTCATCATTTGGAAAAGTTAAAGAAAGGAAACATGATTGGTAGAGCTAAGTTTTGATGTTATAGCAATAATTTTTTTATTGAAAAAGTGATCATAAAACCTTTTTTTCCTAAAAGTATTAATAATTTCAATTTAATCTGGCACGACTGCCCCAGGGATGCAGCTTAGTTAACCAGGGTTGCCACTCCACAGGGAAAGCCTAGAAAATGCAGGGAATTTAAAAATCACCTAAAATAACAGGGAATATGCAGGGAAGTTAGATTTTTTTTTCTTTACAAACTGGGAAAATACAGGGGATTTTTTTTCTTATTTTTGTCTTTTAAAAAATGGTGACCAATCAAAGCATTATCTATGGTATATTTAAGGATGATATTTCAGTTATACTAAACTATTTCATTTACTATGGCATTATTTAAGTATGTTCAGCCGTTTTTCCAGCAATTAAAACTAATAAATGTAGTTAGCCCACTATAGCTCAAACTAGAGCACAGCAATTATCTTTCCTTTTAATATAGTGTGTATAATATATACATGGAAATTTTTTTTCCAGATTTGAGTGGCAGCCATTGATGGGAAATACTAACACAGTTTTTAATTCCTATACTTTTCATAATTTATTCAATGCATTGTTATTAGAATAAATATATATTTTTCTAAATTTTGACACTTTTTTTTTCTGGCATTTTACTTAAATTATTTCTTAAATGTAATCGAAATATTGAATAAATAAGGGATTACTGATTAGATATATAGCGTCAAATCCCGTTTTAGCGAATTGCCAGGGACCAAAGCAATCGCTACGCAATAACAAAAATACTTTACGTCTATCTTACGAATTTCACACATTATTTTGCTACATTGGAATTTTTCGCATAAAAAATAATAAATATTGCATTTAATTGGGGGTTTGATTTATTTTTACTCTATATGTAAAAAATATCAAATCAATATTTTGAAAGCCCACAAAAACAGTTAAATTATAAGGAACAATGGATTTATTATCACTTACCTATCACAAATAACTGTAATCCGTAATTTTTTCTTCTTTTTTGTACGAAAGATTTAGAACGGGTAGAAATTGCAAACTTTTCCAAAAAATGATGCAAATTTCCAAACAACTGAACTGGAAAATCATTCTTTTGGAAAGTCACATGTATTTTTACTTCTACAAACATGAATGGGTTTCGGGGTGGTCACTTCCGTCATTTTTGACCTTTCACATCTGAAACTTTATATTTTTAAGGTACAAAAATATTTGAATAACATTGAAAACAAAACAAAAATTATTCAAAGTTTTGAAGAATGGAAAAGTGTTTTGATCATGAGAGATTATTTTCTCAAATCGGATTACAAAATTTTCACTATTTTGAATGGGATTTGACTATCACACTTTTAAAAATTCTTAATTTGTTTTTTTTTTAAAAAAAGCCCCAAATCTCCCATTATTCCTTTGATCAGAACAGCACATGTAGTTTCAAAATCAAATGAAAATGCATTCAAATTTGTTTTTTCACTATAGAATCTTGTTTCGTCTATTGTCCATCCTCTTGAAAGTGGACAGCATAAATGCGAAAGGTGTGGTCAATGTGCCTTTCTAAAGAAAAGTAATTTTTAAAACCCTTTTTTGGAACAATCTAAAGATAGATTTTCAATAAAAAAAATATATATTAGAATGTGAGTAGGGGTAAAAAAAAGCAGTATCGACCAAATTATTTCACACACTGTAGTTTTATAATAACAACACATTTTTCACGAGTATATATCCATTACTTTTATATATTTAAACATACCTGTAATGGGTTTTCATTCCGGAGATTATTTATATACCTCCTTTTTCTATTTATTTTCAATGTATTGCAAAAACTCCGCCTGGGTTTCACTGGGTAAAGCCCACTCTGAAAAACCTACCCTAAAGTGGGTTTTTCTAAAGTTGATTTCTTTTTTAACCTCTGTTATATTAAAGAGCTATTCTATTGAAATATATATGTAGTCTAGCCTAAAAAAATAAGCCTATGGTGAAAAAACTAACGGTGTTTGGCGACTGGAGAGTCACCTTGCTGGCTACATTTGACTGTATGGCTATTGATTAGACAGTGCCTTTGATTCGCTTTCTATGCAAAAAAATATATAATATTTCCTTAAAAAAATTAATATTTTTTGAGGATTTTAATATTTTTTAAGATTAAAATGTAAATAAAAAGTAATCTTGTGTTAAAATTAGTTTTAAATGAGTGATGTATGTGAGTACATATAACACTTTGTATCGTTTTCTGGAGAAAAAACCGGATTTTTTTGCAACCCTGAATGTATTGCATTACAATATTAAGCAATGGATACACGAACATTAACAAGTGCAAACCTCAGCCGCGTACGTCAGTTGCGGACGCGTTTCTGTGGCTTAGTTGCAGTGTGTTTAATTTGTTTCGCAGTTTTATACTGCTCAGTTATTTGTTTATTTTGTATGCAGAGTTTAAGTAATCAATGGTACATTTTCATCATGGGAAAAAAGGCGATCTTTCAAGTTGTAAAAAAAAGCTGAAGTATTATTTTTTTTTCATCAATTGTAGGGGAAAAAATAGAATCTACAATGGATGGCGAAACAAAACGATACTCTCTTCTCTGAAACGTGCAAGTTTAGTTGTTAGGACCCAAAACTATGGATCTTTAATTTGAAACATTTATATGAAGAATGTTAAAGTTTATAGATGGATTTGATCAATAATGTTTGTAATACATGTTATGTTATTAAAAATTATGTTTATAAATTGTGTCTTTCCTTTCTTACAGGATCTAAATCAATTTTTAAAGAAAAGAGTTGGGCTAAGAAACCTTTCATCGATAAATTGCAATGCTAAAATTCCTGTTTTTTTAATTTCCGAACTTGCTTGGAACAATCTATGTAAGATTGTTACAGTTTTTATCAGCTTAACCAATAATGTAGAATATGATGTAAATTGTAGTCTATTGGGCACCATCTATGGCTAAGAATTCAACTTCTGCTACACCAGTTTATGGGGCGGACCCGTTCATACATCCATTCACAGATCGTTATTTTGACCGGGGGGGGGGCCTACAATGAGCTATTGGGAATAGAAGGGAGATTCCCAGCTGGAATGTGAAACTGGGAAAGTTTGGTTCCATGAACCTTCAATACCTTTTCATGAACACTCGCTTTGAATCAGACATTTCACGATAACTCTCTCTAAGGGCGTGACTAAAATTAAACCAATCACACAATTTGCTTATGTTTTTCTTTTTATGCGTGGCAACATTAGCATGAGGAAAACGAAACTGAAAGAGTTTATAACATTATAAGTTTACGAAATGGGCTTATGCTATTTAGATAATATTTTTGACTATTTATTGTTTTTTTTCCTGTTTTTTGTTTTCATTAAACCAAAAAAATATGAATTGCAAACACTTTGAAATATTCTTTAATTTATTATACATATAATTTTTTTATTAAACACTGACACATTTATCATGTATAATTCATAGAATAAAACCATTTTTTCATATTAAATATTTCTGATATATCCTTTAATATGTTTCATTATTTGTTTTGAATATTTTTTAAAAAGTACAACTCTCAAAATAATACACGTATTTTAATGAATTAAAATTAGTTTTCAATTTAATTTGTAACAATATGATTTAAGTTATTACTACTGATTAGTGTTATTAGTTACATTATTAAAGGGACTGTTTTTACTGATAATTAAATAAATATGTTCACAAGAAATAAATTTATAGAGTTGTGTAAAGAATTTTTTCGTGATTTGAGAAATCATTTCACGTTTGAAATACTTATAAAAGTATAGTTTAAGGAACTACTTTCACAGCTTTTATATTATATATTTTAATGGAAGAATGAGATTAAAAAATTTTTTTAATTAGTAAAAAGAACAAATAAGTACATATTTCATAAATATTTTTCAAAACCTTTTTATTCTATTTACTTTTACCGTTATTCTTTTTCGTATCTTTTATTTTTAATAAATGGTTTACTTTATAATACTTGCCTGTAACACTTCTTTTGATGTGCTGTCATCTGTGTATAGCATAAAGAATCATCGTTGGGAATGAAGTTAAATACTGTTGTTCATCGAAAGAAAATTAAGAAATGATTGGAACTTCAAAAAAAGTTATTAGCCAAAAAATATAACTTGGAAATAGTAACAATTATCATATAATGAGAGCATAATTATATTTAGTTTGCCAAAATGAAACTAATGAGACTTCACACATACTAATGAAACAAAATATTTCTCTTTTAATTATAGTCTTGATAATTGCTCGGGCACGTTTATCTTTTTTTTTAGGAATTTTGTTTTCTCATACGAAATAAAAAATAATTAAGAAATTCATCAGCAAAATATCATGTTTAGTCCTCAAAAATTCATCATTTCATCCAAGAATGAAGATTCTGGGCAGTAGACATCGGCTGGAAAAAAAACCGGTTGAGTTTTTTGCCAAGAAACAGTTTCCACTTTACGTGACGTCATTCCCTAATGGAACTTCATGGTAGGGTACTTGAACCGGAAAACCATCAATCTCCAAATCAGTACCCCCAGAAGTTTGTAACACGGAGGACTTTATGATCCGACAGATTTAACGTGCACCATTTACTACACAGGAAATTTCCGGTTGGCGGGATTCTCACAAATGGGAGTGCAGCGCCCTACCAACCAGGCTATCCCGACCCTGAAGCAGGTATGAAAGACTTCCGCGGAAACTCCCAATTTTTAAAATTTCCGATTATGTTCCAAAAACTTATATTTTTGGGGAGTCCAATAAGAGAAACCCAAGCAGTGGGATACTTGAAGCAGAACGATAATCGGACTTGAGACGAACCCCCCTCCCCCCTGCAGTAGCCTCCTGAGAAAATGATCTTGAGAAGAAAATGGGTGGAATTTCGGCAGATACCCGTTGGCTTGATAACCGCGATTCTTATTCAGATGATTTTTATGTAAATCATCAATTTTCGTATTTAACTGATTTAAAAGTTACTTGTTGCGATTCGTTTAAAATCCAATGTCGCGATTCGTATTCACATATTTTTAAAATTCAATATTGCAATTCGTTATCACGCAGTTGTAATATCAAACATCGATTTTCGTATTTATACGCGATTTAAAAATCACTCATTGCGATAAGTATTCACGAGATCTAAAAATTATGCATCGTGATTCTTATTTACGCAATTTAAAAATTCTATATCGCAGTTTGTATTTTCGTGCTTTTAAAATCCAATATCGTGATTTATATTCACGCAATTTAAAAATTCAATATCGCAATTTAAAAATTAAATATTACAGTTTGTCTTTTCGTGCTTTTAAAATCCAATATCGTGATTCATATTCACTCGATTTTAAAATTCAATTTTGCGATTCATATTCACGCAATTTTAAAATCCGAAATCGCTATTATTATTCACGCGATTTTAAAATACAACATCGCGATTCATATTTGCGCGATTTTAAAATCCAACATCGCGATTCATATTCACGTGATTTTAAAATCCAACATAGCGATTCATATTCACGCGATTTTAAAATTCAACATCGCGATTCATTTTCACGCTATTTTAAAATCCAATATCGTGATTTACATTCACGCAATTGAAAAAAATTCAGTATCGCAGTTTGTATTTTCGTGCTTTTAATATCCTATATCGTGATTCATATTCACGCGATTTTAAAATCCAACATCGCGATTCTTATTCACGTGATTTTAAAATCCTACATCGCGATTCTTATTCACGTGATTAGCAGCTATGAGTAAGATGCATGTATTTTAACGATAGTAATCAATTTAAAAGTCGAACACAAGGTGCTTAAAGTCGATGCTACCGACAAAAATAAATTCAAGTTTCAGTCAAAGTGACTAAAATTGTTAGTAACAATCTATCAGAAGATATTAAGGTGAAAGTTGACGACTGTTTTAATTTAAAATGAAGGACGGGTAATTAATTTAAAATGATAATTAAGCTGCAACTTCCTATAATTGCTTAATTTTCTTTAATATAGTAGTAATCAAAATTTTAAAATTATATTTAAAAAAATTTTTAAATTTCACTGTCTAAATGCTTCTGTCACTTTAAATACTAAATCAAAATCTCCAGAGTTGAAAGTTGCTTTTATACATATATGTATCCTCGATATCACAGTATTACATAGAACACCCTCCTCCTACGTTGTAGAAGTTCAGCTTTTTTTTATTTTCGACCACTTTCATGCCTGCTGATGTAAGCAAATATTACAGAGTAATGGACAAGCTTCTTTAAATTAGGTCATCTGAGTAGGAGAAGTTAATATTTGCCTTGCTCTGAGTATCTCAAGATGTCTGTAATATTTGGTTTGATACTTTTAATTATTTTAGTAATGTGCTAGTTTTCTTAAATTAATGATTCAGAGAGATTAACAGATTGCTATGTAAATGGCTACAAGGTATTTTTGCTTAATGGGTCCAACGCTGGTGGCAAAAATCATTCCATTTTTTGAATGCTTGTTACTGTCATTTTAACTATTAAATTATAATTAATGCCTGGAGGTATACCAAACTTGATACTTAATTCTAAACTTTAAGTAGTTCTAGACCATTATCAGACAGCTAGTAACAAAATGGATGAATAAAATAATAGACATATCGTAAATTGTAGCAAATATTTGTGTGATTCATTGAGTTAATTATTTTATTTTATAACCGTCGTTGAACAGCTCACACGATTTTTTCAGTTTAAGACTACTAATGTTCAATTCTGTAGCCTTCTAATTTTGAACCCAATCCAAAAGACAGGGGAACCACCCCTGCAGCAAGTATTAGGACTTTTTTTTTATGGAACTAACCCGCATTTGCATTACTTAGAGAGGAAAACCTCTCACGGTTAGCCTGACAGCAGGGGTACTTAACAGATGATTCATCTACCATTGAGGATATTTTACGTCAGCACTTGCAAGCCGGATGCGGAATTTGTATCGACCAGCCATCGCTGGGATTCGAACCCCTCATTGGGAAGCAAGCACTAAGCCATCATGGCTCTGCTCAGTTATTTTAAATAAATTGCTTTGTAAGAAGTTAAGATGTAGTCATTAAGGCAAGGGGCAGGATTGTTCTTGTCTTCCAGTGGCGCCATCTATGGCCAAGAATTCGACTCCTGCCACACCGTTTAAAGGCGGACCTATTCATTCATCCAAAGATCGTAAAACGATCTATCTCCAATTCAGTATCCCCAGAGGTATATAATTTGTTATAGGAATGTGGAGGGCGTGACCCAACAGATTGAGATTTAACGTTCACCATTTACTACGCAGAGAGTCTTCGGCCGGCTGGATTTGAACTCCCGTTCTTACGAGTCCTGCCAACTAGGCTATCCCGGCCCCATTCAATTGGATTGTACACCGCTAATAAATTACAATAATTTTTTTTATTCTTTTCAAAAAAAATTTTTGGATACACTTTATAAATAAATAAAAAAACACCTAAAAAAATGATGGAAAGTTTTCTCGGTTTTCCTCTGCATGTAACGCAAATGCGGTTAGTTCCATCAAGAAGTCCTCCACGAAGGCAAATTTCACCCAATACTTGATCCAGGAGTTCCCTTGTCTTCTGGATTCGAAAATTATCCGTACTCCCCCCCCCCAAAAAAAAAAAAATTATTGGATAAGCTGTTTAACGACGGTTATAAAGTAAAAATACATCAAGTTACAAAAAGAAAACACATAAAGATGTTTACTTAAATAATCACCTAAATATATAAATACTT